CCAGTAAACCACCAGAAAACGGGAAGTGGCGCTGTAGCTCAAGTGGTAGAGCGCTCGCCTTGAGCTGAAGAGCTGAGGGATAGTGCCCAGGCCCAGAGTTCAAGCCCCACGACCGACAAAAAAGAAAAGAAAAATAAAACTTAGATATTTTTATGTTTTTAAGTGTTGCTAAAGATTACGTGCGGCTCATGAAATATGGTGATTCTCTATACCGCTGCAAGCAACTGAAGCGTGCTGCCCTGGGGCGAATGTGCACTATTATCAAGAGACAGAAACAGAGTTTGGAATATTTGGAACAAGGTACTTGTGAGGTTGATTTTATTTTAGATATGATCAAATTATTTTTCCTAGCCTAACTCATCAGAAATTCTAATAGGCTAATTGTTGTTGAAAATAATCATTGAAATATTGTTTAGAAAATGTGTGACATTTAGTATTGAATAGGTAAGGCACAGACATGAATCTTGGGGAAACATTGATAAAAATACAAAAATAAAATGGTTTGCTAGTTTACCTATTGACATTTTTATATGAATTTTTAAGAGGACAATTTCTGAATTGTAAAAAATTTCACACCTTCTCAAATGTGTCATTTTTACTTGTTCATTTTTGCCCCTCCCCCTTTTCATTGTTTCTTAAGAAAGATTTATGGTGTGTGAGTACATGTGTTTGCCTATAGATGAGCTAGTTAATGGTAATAGCCGGTGTTGTCGCACTAAGGCCTAGGGTGTGTTTGCTTCAAAATACATGGTCATCCAAATAATCTTAACATGACAAGAGTCATCTGAGAATCTTATTAGCCCTGTGGTTTTGGCCTCACCACTGACTTCTGGAACCAAAATATCTATGGCAGGTAAAAATAGGCTTGTGGTATAGCCACATTCAGGAAATACTATTGTATGTACAAGTATATGCTATAGTCTTCTGTTATTGTTCCCTTTTTCATTCATATATATTTATTCAACACTTTTGCATTATAAAAACTGGAGTGCGATTATATGTAACCATAAATCTGGAGCATAACTAAATTGGAAAAAATCAAGCAAATTACGAGTTTTAATTTTTGAATTTAAACATTTTCATAGTACGCCAGCATTTATCCCGCTTGCCAACGATTGATCCAAATACAAGGACTCTGCTTTTGTGTGGGTACCCAAATGTTGGGAAGTCCAGCTTCATCAATAAGGTAGGTCTGCCTTTATTATATATTGATTATCTTAAATCAGAATATTCTTACTTTGAGATAAGGGAGTATGGGTTACAGTGTTGTCTGGCTAACTAGTAAATCACCCTAGTCTTCTGGAGGATTTGATAACTGAGCACCTATGTTCTCAGGAATATTTAACTTGTCTAAAGCTAGATTTAACATGCTGTTACAGAAGCCTTTGTTTTTTTCTTCCTTTTTTTTTATCCCCTTCCCTCCTTATATCTTATCTATCTATCTAATCATATGGTACTATAGGCATTGAACCTACAGCTTTACACATGCTAGATAAGTAAATGCTCTACCACTAAGCTATTGTTATCTCAAAGCTAGCCTTGAGCTTATGATCCTCCTGCTTCACCCTTTCCATAGTTGGGACTATCACTGCATATACCGTCATGCTTAGCAAAAATCATTCTTGATAATATAGTAATATTATATTGATAATATTGATAATAATACCAGTTAACATTAAGAGGAAATAATATGTGAAATTTCCATCATCAACTATCATTTTGTTTCAAGGTTACGAGAGCAGATGTGGATGTTCAGCCTTATGCATTTACCACCAAGTCTCTGTTTGTTGGGCACATGGATTATAAGTATCTTCGTTGGCAGGTAAGAGTCTTATCTTTAAACCTAGAACAAGTTTCTTTTCTCGGTTTCTGTTTCATGAAATTTGATGAGAGTTTCTATTTGATGAAATTTGATGATTTCTAAAAGAGTACAATGAATATCAACCATATAATGCTCCTTAGTAAAGTGTCAGGCAGCATCCCTAAGGGGGGAGTCTGAATAGTGGGGAAAATAGATTCTCTGGCATTACCACAAACATGAAATTCATGTACCACCATAAGGAAAACTCACCTGAGCTTTGTGAATGGCTGAGGACAGTTTGAAATAATAAGGAGGGGCTGGGAAGGTGACTCAATGGTAGAGCGCTTGCTTTGCATGCATGAGGCCCTGGGTTCAATTCCTCAGCACCACATAAGCAAAAAGAAAAAAGCCAGAAGTGG